TTATTCACTGTTCAACTTTCACATGAATGACATTATTGAAAATACCACAGCTTGGGTCAGGCACATCTTAGTCCTCAAATTGACATCTTTGCTCTTCAACACTTCAAAGAGGTCTTATGCAATAGATCTGCCTAATGCAATACATCGTTTGATTTCTTGACTGCTGCTTCCTTGAGTGTTGATGGTTGATCAGAGCAAAATGAAGTCTTTGACAGCATCAATCTTTTCTTCATTATTCTGGATGTTGTTTATTGATTCAGTGGTGAGGATTTTTTGTTTTCTTTACATTGAGGTACAACCCATACTGAAGGTTGGGGTCTTTGATCTTCATCAAGTATTTTAAGTCCTCTTCGCTTTCAGTAAGCAAAGTTGCATCCGCTGCATATCACAGGTTAACCAGTCCTCCTCCAAACCTGATACCACTTTCTACTTCATATAATCCAGCTTCTTAAACTATTTGCTCAGACTACAGATAAAATAGGTGTGGTAAAAGAAAACAAACCTGGCACATACCTTTCCTGATTTTAAACCAGTGTTCCCTTTTTCTAATAACTGTCTCTTGAGCACAATTAAGTGTTCCAGAACACTCATTCTCTGTAATCTTGTTCACAGCTTGTCTTGATCCACACAATTTAAAGCTTTATGCACTCAATAAAACACTGGTAAACATCTTTCTGTAAATCTATGATCATCTGTTACAGTTGTTGTTGTTGCTAAGTGCCATCAAGTCAATTCCGACCCACACCAACCCTATATTGGGTTTCCAAGGAGCCGCTGGTGAGCTTGAACCACCAACCTTGCAGTTCAGACAACTTTGCAGTCTGACACATTAGCCCACAGCGCCACACCAAAAGATCCGTTTTGGAAGAAGTGCAGCCAGAGTGCTCCATGGACGCCAAGATAGACAAACCTCATCTCTCATACTTTGGACATATTGTCAGGAGGGACCAGTTGCTGGAGAAGGATATCATGTTTGGTAAGAGGGAGGGTCAGAAAAAAAGAAGACCCCCAATGAGATGCATTGGCCAAGTACCAGCATCGATGGACTCAAGCATGGCAACAACAGTGAGGTTGGCCCAGTATCAGGCAGTGTTTCATTCTGCTGTGCATAAGGTCGACAGGGGTCGATACAGACTCAATGGCACCTAACTACAACAACAACTGACTTTAAATGTTGGAAAAAAAGAAAAAATATCTGTAGTTGGAATATATGGCCTAGGT